CACTGTTGTTTGGCAGCCCGGGCTGGATCTGAACCCACCACCTTAGGTGTATGTGGCTGGCACCTTAGCCACTTGAGCCACAGGCACCAAGTTGGGATAATGGTCTTAAAAGAGAAACCCTCACACTCCAAGCAACCCATGTCCTCGCAACCCACTGCCCCTACCCCCTTATACCCCATTTTGCAGGGAGGCACGGATCCAGAAACCCTCTTTCCACCTCCATACCAGAACACCCCCCCTCCTCACCAATGGGGGCCAGATAATGAAGCTGTCCCTTTAAGAGGAAACCCGGCTAGGAGCCCGCCCCACACTCGCGGGAGGGCACAGCAAGAACAGTGCTGCTGACTCTACGGCCCTCCCCCTTCAAGCAGTCAGCCCTCCCAGTGAGGAAGGAGACAGCCCCTGCATTACTGGCCTTTTGCAACCAGTGGCTTAGATAACTGGAAAATGCAGAACCCCCCTTTCTCTGAGAAACCCATTGCACTTGTTAACCTTTTAGATTCCATTCGCTTGACCCACCAGCCTACCTGGGACAATTGCCAGCAACTCCTACAGGTCCTGTTCACAACCGAGGAGTGGGGGCAAATTTTAGTGGAAGCAAGAAAGTCTGCCCCGGAGAAGACAAGACCCATACCCTTAACCAGGCTTTGATTAATGCAGCTTTCCCCCTAACCCGACCCACTTGGGATTTTAACACAGCTGAAGATAAGGAGAGGCTCCGAATTTACCGCCAGACTCTGATGGGAGGGCTTAGAAAGGCTACCCAGAAACCAAGCAACTTAGCAAAGGTATACAATATAGTACAGGAGAAGACAGAGATGCCGGCAGCATTCTTAGAACGGATAACGGAGGTGTTTCACACTTATACACCTATGGATCCAGAGGCGGAAGATACTAAGCCTGCTGTAATTATGGCTTTTGTCAATCAATCCGCCTGAGACATCCGGTGGAAACTTCAGAAAATAGACAGGCTAGGTAGACTGTTGACTACCCTTCAGGATCTGTTGACAATTGCAGAAAAAGTGTACAACAATAGAGAAACTCCAGAAGAGAAGCAGTCACACACAGCTAGGAAACAGACCCAAGACCTGGTGAGGATTTTTCTGGCCACCACAGCAGGAACTCCAGAAGATAAAGCTTGACAACTAAACTACCTTGCTAAAGTTAAGGAGACAGTCCCCTGGGCAGGCCTGCCAGCTAGTAATAGACCCCATCTCTGCAAAGACCAATGTGTGTACTGCAAAGAGAGCAGACACTGGGCCCTTGAGTGCCCTAAGAAGAGGGGCCCAGAGCAGAGAGACCAGGTCCCTGTGTTACAACCTGGAGAACTAAGTGATTAGAGCTCTGGGTAACTTTGAAAGTGGAGGGGACCCCAGTTGACTTCCCTATCAATAACAAGGCCCAACATTCAGTTCTGATCAAAGACAAAGGGCCCTAGATTCCCGGAAGTCTTGGGTGCAGGAAGCCACTGGCATGAAACAGTATTCATGGACTACCTGAAGAACCGTGGACCTGGGCATGGGTCAGGTATCCATGGTTATTCCTGATTGCCCTTACCCTCTCTTGGGGCATGACCTCCTCACCAAGATAGGAGCACAGATCACTTTTGAGAAAAACGGGCCCCAGGTGACTGATCAACAAGGGCACCCAATTCAGGTATGCTTAGAAGATGAATATCGGGTACATCAGCCTCCTCAACTAGCCCCCTCACCCAAAGACGTGACAGAGTGGCTCCTCCAATTCCCTGCCTCCATTCCCTCGAGGAATTGGGCTAGCCTCACATTGGCCTCCCATTCTAGTAGAACTAAAACCAATGGCCAAGCCTACCCAGGTGCAGCAATATCCTATGTCTCAGGAGGCACAGAATGGTATATTGCCCCATATCTGGAGGCTTAAAGAGGCTAGAATTTTAGTCCCTTGCCAGTCAGCCTGGAATACCCCCCTGTTGCCAGTCAAGAAGCCTTTAACAAATGATTACTGGCCTGTCCAGGACTTGAGAGAAGTCAACAAAAAAGTAATAGATATCCACCCCACTGTGCCTAACCCTTACACCCTCCTGAGCTCACTGACTCCAATTCAGACATGATGCCTTTTCCAGCCTCCCACTAGCCCCACAGAGTCAGCTTCTGTTTGCCTTCAAGTGGAGCAACCCCGAATGTGGCATCCATGGGCAGCTCACCTGGACCCGCCTACCACAAGGGTTCAAGAACTCTCCCACAATCTTTGATGAGGCATTACACGAAGACCGTGGCAACTTCCGTAAGACACCCCCTGATCTGACCCTATTGCAGTATGTAGATGACATTTTGTTGGCAACAGACTCAGAATCCAAGTGTGTCCAAGCAACACGAGACCTACTGGCTACTCTCAGCTCCCTCAGCTATCGAGCCTCAGCAAAGAAGGCTCAGCTTTGTCAACAAACTGTGAGTTATCTGGAATATGTACTGGTGTGGGGGGCAGCGGTGGCTAACCCAGGCCAGAAAAGAAACGGTACAGAAAATCCCAGTGCCTACATCACCCTGGGCAGTTAGAGAGTTCCTAGGCTCAGCAGGTTTTTGCCGGCTCTGGATTCTGGGCTTTGCTGAAATGACCAAACCTCTGTATGAAGCCACTAGAAATACTCAACCTTTTTGATGGACAGAGGAACAAAGTAAACCTTTCCATGCCTTAAAGAAGGCCCTACTGTCCGCCCCTGCCTTAAGCCTTCCTAATATTACCAGGCCCTTTCACCTGTACGTTAATGAGCACAAAGGAGTAGCAAAAGGGATGTTGACTCAGACTCTAGGGCCATGGAACCAGCCAGTGGCTTATCTGTCAAAAAAACTAGATCCTGTAGCAGCGGGGTGGCCTCCATGCTTGCAGATTATAGCTGCTACCGCCCTTATCACCAAAGATGCAGACAAACTCACTCTAGGACAAGAACTAATAATTACAACTCCCCATGCCATAGAGGGGGTATTGAAGCAGCCCCTGGACCGGTGGATGAACCATGCCCGACTCACTCATTACAAGAGTCTGCTGCTCAACCCTCCTCGGATCCAGTTTGCGCCTAAGGCAACGCTCAACCCAGCCACCCTCCTGCCAGACCCAGACCTGGACACCCAGCTTCATGACTGCTCTGAGATCCTGGCACAAGTACACAGCACCTGCCACAACCTGAAAGATCAACCTTTGCCTGATGCAGAGGTGACCTGGTATACCAATGGCAGCAATTACATCAAAGATGGCAACAGGTATGCTGGGGCAGCAGTAGTGACTGAGACTGAAGTAGTATGGGCTGATCCCCTCCCGGCCGGCACCTCTGCCCAGAAGGCTGAGTTGATAGCCCTCACGAAGACCCTTGTCTTAGGAAAAGACATGAGACTCAATATATATACTGACAGCCGGTACGCGTTTGCTACTGCGCATGTCCATGGGGCAATTTACAGAGAACAGGGGCTGCTCACAGCTGAGGGAAAAACTGTCAAACATAAAGAAGAAATATTTGACCTTCTTCAGCCCTCTGGCTCCCCAAAAAGGTGGCAGTAATCCACTGTCCTGGACCCCAGAAAGGAGATACTCCAGTGGCTAGGGGAAATAGACTAGCTGACTTAACCACCAGGCAAGTGGCTGAAAACACAAGCCTAGAACTTCCCCTCCACATGCCAGATCTAGGATCTCCAAACTTTCCAGAAGCTCCCAATTATACCGCTGAAGACTTACAATGGACGCACCAGACCCCTATGGTAAATGCCCCAGAGCAGTATAATGGGTGGTGGCTCACTTGTGACAGAAAAGTGTTACTTTCTGCAAAATTAGGGCAGAAAGTCTTATAACGGATGCACCGCTCTACACACCCAGGTTCCAGAAAGATGAAAGACCTACTCAGGCATACAGGTATCAAAATACAAGGCCAAAATGCCAAAATTGATGAAATAGTTGCTTCCTGTAAAGCATGCACCCTCACCAATAGTCAACCACAACCTCAAAACCCGGGGTCACGACAATGTGGGACCAAACCAGGTGCATACTGGGAAGTTGATTTTACTGAAGTCAAACCAGGTAAATATGGATACAAATATCTGTTAGTTTTCATAGATACTTTCTCTGGATGGGTAGAAGCCTTTCCCACCAAACAGGAGACAGCACAAGTTGTAGTCAAGAAACTCTTAGAAGATATGATGCCTAGATATGGACTTCCCGATAGTATAGGATCAGACAACGGGCCAGCCTTAACTTCTCAAATAGTAGCTAGTCTGGCTAAGGCCATGGGAACAAACTGGAAGCTACACTGTGCTTACTGGCCTGAGAGTTCAGGACAGATAGAGAGGATGAATTAGACCTTGAAAGGAACCCTGACAAAATTAATTTTAGAGACTGGTGGTGACTGGGTGTCTCTCCTCCCCTTTGCTTTGAATAGGGTAAGAAATTCTCCCTATGTCATAGGCAAGACCCCATTTGAAATTATGTATGGAAACCCCCACCCCTAGTTCCCAGCTTACTGAGTAAAGCTGTAAATGACAAACATGATAGTAATTTTGCTCTTTCTTTACAATTTTATCAAAAATATCAGCAAGAATACTGGAAGAAATCATTGCCCTGTACAATAGCGGGCCCACACCTGAGCCCCACGCATGTCAGCCTGGCAACTGGGTGTATGTAAAATGCCACCAACACAAGACCCTCAAACCACGGTGGAAAGGACCCTACATTGTTGTCCCCTCGACATCCACCACACTCAAAGTAGACGGTATCACGTCGTGGGTCCACTACACCCATGCCTGCCTAGCTGATCCATTTGCTGCCAAAGAAGACTACACCCCAGAGTGGAAACTCCAATGAGACCCTGACAATCTGTTGAAGCTCAAACTGCGAAGATGCCAGAATCCTTGATGTCACTGTATGTGCACTATATATTGACTTGCTCTGCCTTATTAGCTACTCCCTTTACTGCCAGCCCCCATCTCCCTGTTCAGGTAACATGGCAGGTTATTAATGCTAGCACAGGAACCATCCTCAATCAGACCTCAGGAATTTACCCTAAAGGTATTTGGTTCCCGGAACTCCTAGTAGATCTCCACGATCTATTAGGGACTACTCTCTGGTGCTGCCCAGATCTGACTAAGACCTTTTATGTCTGCTCCGGTCACCTTCCTGACAAGTGTGGAGGAGCGAGTTCATACTTCTGTAACTCATGGAGCTGTGTTTCCACTGGACAAATATGGTGGAACACCCCTAGACAAGAAGACCTAATTCAGATAAAACAGAAGACTATGTGTCCCAGCAAAGGGTGCCCCCAGAAAAATCCCAAATGTGATAGTGTTAGTATCAGCTTTACTGAAAAAGGGAAGCAGATGCAAGGATGGGAAATCATCAAATGGTGGGGTGTGCAGTTGTACCGCTCTTCCAAGACAGATCCAGGTAATATTTTCCTACTAAAAGTCCTATATTCCCCAGTTAATACTAGACCCCCTACTGCAGTAGGCCCCAACTCGATACTTAAGCTTCCCCCTGCAGTCATACCCAAGACCCCTGGCACCCCAGGCCAAGCACCAGGGACCCAAAGTCCAGACCCCACCCCCAACATGGCTATTACCAAGACACCTGCACCTGTGCAGGAAGACCCCATACCTGCACCTGCTGAAAATCTCAACCCACTCTGGAATTTAGTCACCACTACTTACCAGGTCCTGAACACTTCCAGACTAGACCGAGTCTTGTTGGTTATGTATGGAAGCCAGACCCCCACATTATGAAGGTATAGCTGTAACAGGGCAGCCTACTGTTAGCTCCTCAGCTAGCAGATGGCAACAGCAAGGTCCCCAACTCACCCTCCAAGCCACATCGGGCCAAGAACTCTGTGTAGGACACACACAGCCTCAGTTCCAACATCTGTGCAGCCAGACTCTGTCCTGGAATGGTACCAGGTACTTAATTCCCACCAACAATTCCTTGTGGGCCTGCTCTACAGGGTTTGCACCATGTGTAGGAGATAAGCTCCCCTTGCTCAAGACATGGCAGTTCACCTCAATGTGCTCCTTCAGGAGATTGGTTCTGAGAAGCATCTCTTTGAAGATCGAGCTTCTGTACCTGCCTATAGATATGCAGGAATATGCAGAGTGACTCTCTCCCTAGGAGGTGTGGAAAATCAGCTGAGGTCACAGCTAGGGTTGAACAGACTGGTCTTCAAGCATTGGGTTCTATTCTCTGCCTTCTCTCTTCATTAACATTATAATCTCTAGTTCCATTTGGGCTAAAAGGAACAGACAGCCAGTCTCTTTTATGTTTTTACTCTAAACAAAATCAATTGTATGTGTTCCTCAGCCTTCACACTAAATTGTAATCTTAAATGGTAGCTTCCTACTTCTTTGTATATGTGTTAAATTCTTACTGAATGTTGGAAAGTATATAAGGTAATCAGTAAAGTTTAACTGGGCCGCCGACCAGAGCGAGTCACGGCCTCCCTTAAATCATCATTCCGTCTGCAGTTCTTTCCCCTGCGTCCCCGATCAGAGGCTCCAAAGAACACACAACATCATCTGGCGCAGCGAGCAGGGTCCACGGCTGGACCGAGGACCTGGTCAAATTGTTCGTGGAGCATCTGTTCAACCGATCTTGAGGTTAGTAAACTGGTACTTTCAGAATCCAAAGAGTTGCTGAGACTTGGAAATACTCAGGCTTTGGACAGGTAGAAAAAGGGATCATTCATCATGGGTAACTCCTCCTCGGTTATTGAGGATGAATACATTCAATTGCTTAAAAATCTTTTAGATACTATGGGAATTTCTGTTAAGACTAA